TTGCTAATTAAGTGATTAAACGTGAACTAACAAGTTATTTAAATCGAGATTAGACTAACTTACACATATTAATAATAATTATAATTAATTTTTTAATAAATAAATAATAGGATCGATCTATCTTTTAATGAGAATATGTACATAACAGAATTTCGAACAGTTCGTGCATGATTTCGTGTTGCTCTTCTATTGGTAAGCATCAAAATATCATTGTGTTTTAAAATGTGAATTAATGAACTTAGCCAAAATGCCTGGACAACCTTAATTATTAGCCACCTCAACTTCATCTACCCAAGCACTACAAGATTGTACTATACATATATATATATATATATATATATGCACATACATATTATGTATATATATAGCCCTGACCCTTGTTCTCCATGAAACTTAATTGATGTTCGTAACCCAAACATAGAAAATTAACCATGTATCGTCTTCTTCCTCTTTTCCTCTCGCTTCTCCTGACAACAATCCCAACCCCACGCTGCAACTCTCAACAGTTCGCTTGCGACGAAACTCTCCCTGCAACATCCCAATATCCCTTCTGCAACACCTCCTTACCCTACCCCGACCGAGCCAAGGACCTCGTCTCCCGTCTAACCCTCCAAGAAAAAGTCAAACAGCTAGTAAACAAAGCCGCCGGAGTTCCCAGACTCGGTGTCCCGGCCTACGAGTGGTGGTCGGAGGCTCTCCACGGCGTCTCCAACGTCGGTCCCGGCGTCCATTTCAACGCAACGGTGCCCGCCGCCACGAGCTTCCCCGCCGTTATTCTCTCTGGGGCGAGCTTCAACACGACGCTGTGGCTCGACATGGGCCAGGTGGTGTCAACGGAGGCTCGAGCCATGTATAACGTGGGTCTTGCCGGGTTGACGTACTGGAGTCCGACGATCAACGTATTTCGCGATCCGAGATGGGGCCGCGGCCAGGAGACGCCAGGGGAGGACCCGCTGGTGGTGTCGAGGTACGCGGTGAATTATGTTCGGGGACTGCAGGAAGTGATTGGCGGTGACGATGGTGACGGTGACAGGCGGCGGCTCAAGGTGTCGAGTTGCTGCAAGCATTATACTGCTTATGATGTTGATAATTGGAAAGGTGTTGATAGATTCCACTTCGACGCTAAGGTAAGTTAGAAATAGAAAGTTCACTGGTTAACGCATATATATATATATATATACACACACTTTATGGTTAAATATATATAACTAATGGAATATATGTACGTATACAAGGTCGAAAAATCATGTTAGTGCCAACTAATATAGAGTTCCTTCTTTTTCAAAAGTCATGCTTTTTATTAATCAATATATTTCTGATTATTAGAAAAATAAAACTCAAAAATAAGTCACGCCTATATGATGATATTATATATATATATATATATATGTATATGTATATATATATATATATGACAATGATGCGTGATAATTCTGTCACATTTTAAGTACACGAGGAACAGACTAATCCTATTTTCAGGTAATTGAAATTTCTTTTTGTCACGTTAATGAAACCTCATTACACATAATTGAAATTATATTATAATAAAGTAAGATTGTGGCTTACCAATCAATGGTTAATATATATAGATATATATATATATATATATACATTTTCTACTTAATAAATTAGAATTATACTTATATTCTATTAATATATATATGTGTCGTGTGTATTTTTACTTAAAAGCTATTAAAAATTATTTGTTTTATTATAATTAATACATATATATATATAGCAATCGATCGATAAATATGTATATTTTTTACTCAGAAAACTTTAGGGTTATACTTACATACATCTACTGTTTTTTCTTTGTATATCTTTGTAGGTGACAAAGCAGGATATGGAGGATACATATCAACCACCATTTAGGAGTTGTGTGGAGGAAGGACATGTGAGCAGTGTTATGTGTTCTTACAATAGAGTTAACGGGATTCCCACTTGTGCCGATCCAAATTTACTCACGGGCATTATCAGAGGTCAATGGAATCTCGATGGGTATATTTCATACATATATATATATATATTCATTATAACACAATATTTTAACAAAAATATACAAACCACGTAACTCAACTCAAACATATTTTTAACAATTTCTGTCTTTGTAGATATATTGTTTCAGATTGTGACTCCATTGAGGTATATTACAATGCCATTCGATACACAGATACCCCAGAAGATGCAGCGGCTCTTGCCCTGAAAGCAGGTGTTTTAGCCGGATATATATGTATATGTATATGTGTATATATGTATAACTTTGATCGGATAATGAAGTTTACGATCCATCCACACAGGTTTAAACATGAACTGTGGAGACTATTTAGGCAAGTACACAGAAAATGCAGTGAAGTTAAACAAAGTAGAAGAATCTGTAGTTGACGAAGCCTTGTTGTACAACTACGTCGTTTTGATGAGACTAGGATTATTCGACGGTGACCCTAGATCTTTACCGTTCGGGAATCTTGGACCGTCCGATGTCTGTGCCGATGATCATCAGAGATTAGCCGTTGATGCTGCAAGACAAGGCATAGTCTTGTTGTACAACAATGGAGCTCTGCCATTATCCATAAACACGACGAAGAGTTTAGCCGTCATCGGGCCAAATGCAAATGCTACGACTGTCATGATAAGCAACTACGCCGGAATTCCTTGTGGGTATATAAGTCCGGTTGAAGGTTTGAAGAAATATGTATCCACGAATAGCGTTTTGTATTCGGCGGGTTGTGGGGATGTTAAGTGTGGTGATGAGGGGTTGATTAAGGAAGCGATGGAGACTGCGGCGGCGGCGGAAGACGCAGTGGTTGTGGTTGTAGGGCTTGATCAGTCTGTTGAGGCAGAAGGAGTTGACCGAGTCAACCTTACTTTGCCTGGGTTTCAAGAGAAATTGGTGGTGGAGGTGGTGAATGCAACTCGAGAGAGTACAAAAGTGATTCTTGTGATAATGTCTGCTGGACCTGTTGATGTTTCTTTTGTTCGGAATTTGAAAAAAGTTGCAGGGATTTTGTGGGTCGGGTATCCGGGTCAAGGTGGTGGAGACACCATTGCTCAAATCATGTATTGGTCACTACAATCGTGGTATTGATTCAATTAGAATTCATATATATCATGAGGTGTGGTTTAGCTGATAACTTTTGTCTAAACACTTTATCAACTGCAAGATCAGCGTTGACATGTTACGATCAATCCTACGCCGATCAGGTCCCCATGACAGACATGACCATGAGACCAAACACTTCATCAAACTTCCCCGGCCGAACCTACCGATTGTTCACCGGCAAACCCATCTACGAATTCGGCCATGGACTCAGCTACTCCACATTTTCCACCTTCATAATCTCCGCACCCTCAACCCTCCTCATCCCACTTCACCCCCACAACATTCTAGTCTCCTCCACCGTCATCGACGTCTCAGAAGTCGACTGCAACGACTTGAAAGTTGACCTCGTTATCGGAGTAAAAAACAACGGACCGATGAACGGAACCCATGTGGTGATGGTGTTCTGGAAGCCGCCGACGGGGTCGGGGGCGGTGGGTGGTGCGCCGAGGTTGCAGCTGGTTGGGTTCGAGAGAGTTGAAGTTGAGGTGGGGAAAACGAAGATTGTGAGAAAGGAGATTGATGTGTGCGAGGAGATGAGTTTGGTTGATGCGGACGGGAGGAGGAAGCTGGTGACGGGGGTTCATACGATTGTGGTTGGGGCCGCGAGTGACCGGCGCGTCCAACATCGGCTAAATGTGAGGGTGGCGGAGACTGCGAGTGGAGTTGGTGGGTTTGTGTCTGTCTAGGTCGGATAATTAATTAATTAGTACTGAATTAAATTTAATCATGTTTTTGTTGTGATTAAAAAGACAGAAAATGGACTGACAATTACTTATCATACAATGTATTTTTTTAATAAAAAATTTATATATTCAATAATTAAGTAATATACCTATATTAATTATGACAAAATAAAAATAATTTTTAAATAAAAATAAATACTAATACTAATACAGTTAGATTTAAGTCGATATTATTTTAAAATAAAAAAAATAAAAATAATTTTTAAATGAGAATATATGTTAATATAATCTGATTCGAATTCACCACATCCTAAAATGATAAAATAAAAATAACTTATCACAGTGCGTGATATTTTAGAATAAAAAAAATCTCTAAATAAAGATATATATAACAATACCGTACGATTCGAATTCTGCATTTCTTAAAATAATAAAATAAAAATAAAAAAAAGGTAAATATATATTAGTGCAATGCATTCGAATCCACAACCTCTTGACAAAAACATACTACAATAATTTAATTTCTCTAATTTTTTTAAAAAAATTATTTATTAGAATAAATAGTTATTAGGGATATAATTGTAATTATTTACAAAAATTAGGGTTAAATATATCATTTTAGTTTTTTTGTATAAATATCTAACAACAGTTCATCAATAAACAACTTTTTTCATTTTTTTTTTTAAATTCAGAACTTCAACACTTATTTTCTCTCAATTTACTGTGTAAAAAATATAAATCCTAATATATTATTCGTTTCTGCATTTTAAATTATATTTCTCTTAAGGTTCCGAACCTCTACATTAGTACCCAGAATCTGTATACTCCAGCTTGAAGGAAGACTATTAGAATAAATAGTCATTAGGGATATAATTATAATTATATACAAAAGTTGGGATTAAATTTGTAATTTTATTTTTCTTGTATAAATATCTAGCAACAGTTCATCAATGAACAAATTAAACACGTGCTAAAAAGTAATTAGATGCAATGAATTCGGATTAGAGAAGGCGGATTTGAAGTCCAAATTTTTAGCAGTCTCATTTGAATTCCTTACTACAAACTTGGCCTTCTGGTCTCAGACACGCTCCACGCGCCTGAATGCCACTTGGATTATGTTATAGTAAAATACAAACCCACTTGAGATTGACGTCTATGTCCCCACCGTATTCTTGTCTCTTTGGACCCCACAAAATTTGGCCGTTGATTTTTATTTGACTCAAATTAAAATTCTTTATTAATTATTCATTCAATTATTTATGTTAATACAAAAAATGAAATTAAAATAATTAAGGTGGAAAATATATATGTTACGTACATATTTATATAACACATGGGTTTCATCTCAAATTAATAGATGACATCAATCAATATAATTATTTGTAAATTAATTATATAGTATAATTGGATAAGGATAAAAGTTAATAATATAGTTTCATATTATTTATATAACACATGGGTTTCATCTCAAATTAATAGATGACATCAATCAATATAATTATTTGTAACGTATTTATGTAGATTAATTATATAGTATATAATTGGATAAGGATAAAAGTTAATAATATAGTTTCATATTATTTGACTTTACCATCCCTACATTTCAAACACTTTAAAAACTTTTCTTTAGAACATATTGATTCAAGCTTCCACTTGAATAATATAAGTAATTAACGTTTTTTCAACAAACATGGAATTCACACCACCCCTAAGTTTTGGACCGAATAAAAAAATTTTAAACTAAACGATTATGAAATAACAAATGATATAAAAAAATTGATTAATAATATCAAACAATGACGCGTAGAGCCGCTAAATTTGGGTACGGAGATGTGTATGTGAAAGTCACTAGAAGATATATAACTGTATGCATACACATACATGTGTACATACATACATACATATAATATTCATTGTATGAGCAAGTCAAATTTTCTTGATGACCCAAAAATTTATTATAATTTTCCACATTAAGAAAACAGAAAGCGAGCCATCTCATTATCAGATTCTTCTTTTGTTGGCCATACGCGTTAATTAAATTTCTTGTTCTTTTAAATTTCCTTTTGGGTTTTGATAAGAAGTTTCTATAACCCAAAAAAGTCAATAGCAATCCCAAAAAAAAAATAAAAAAATCACATTTCCAAGATTTTATTGAATTAAACAATTTTAATAAATATAAATAACAATTTAATTTTAGGGTGCAAAAATTAATTTAAAAAAAAAAATACCCATATCACTCAATTTTTTTAAAAAAATATATATTTTTTTTCATAAAAAATCGTGTTTTTATATATCATTTTTAATTAATTTATTAAAATTTTTATATTTTAAAATAATACATGCAAACATTATATCTAAATATTAGAAAGTAATTAGCACTTCCCACCTATAGAAAATGGGTGTGTTTTCTAAATATTTTAAAAATTAAGTCCATTAAGAAATGACTAAAATTGTTCAGAAAAAAAAAAAAATATTCTTGAGTAAGTTAGGGCACACTCCTAATGATTTAATCCCAAAGAAAATGTTAGTACTCAAGTTGGTGAGGATAAAGATTGACACTAATATAAAGATATATATATATATATATATGGAATGTATATCTAGAAGTCATGCATTGACATTTGACCATCAATTAATTCAAAAACCATACCCCTGGTTTTCCATTATAACCATATACTTAGGACCCCTCTATATATATATATATATACATGCATGTATCTATCTTCTTCCATAACAAACCGTCTGCAATTCAATTCGTAACAACTTTCAGCTCATCAAGACAAACCGAGAAGATCAACAAGAAGGAAAAGAAGAAGCCATGGAAGGTTTGATTCCATATCTCATTCATGCCATTAAGAAGGACAAACCTTACCACGACCACCACCATCATCACCACAACCATAACCACCGTTATGGTTATCAACGATCAAATTCGGAGGGGTCTAGCCGGAGCTACCACCTCTTGGTTGGAGGATCCGGACTGGATTCTCTCGAGGGCTCGTCTCACCGACGAACCAGGTCAGAATTCCAACCTCCTACAGCAGAGTTCCTAAAGCACCAGCAGCAAATCAGTTCTCTAGATTTTAATATTCCATCGCGTATTAACAACAATCATGTTTATAATTTCAACAAGAGTCCTGTGACTTCACCATCAATGGCTGCCGCTGGGTCTCACTTTGGTTCTTCTCCGCACCATGCCTCAAAGCAAGATTATAACACCAATACTCCTTATCTCAGGCGATGATTCAGGATTTCATATGTTTGGTATTTAAGGTTTTTTTTTGGGGGATTTTCTGAAGGGATGATTTTAATTTGAATTGTTAATTGTATTCATTCTAGTTTTAAGTTGTATGGGTAAATGATGAAATTAAAAAGGGCTACAGTACTAAGTTTCTACAGAATTGTAAATTCAGTCTGCATACTTGTATCAAAGTAGATGCTTTCTATGGTTTGTAATTTGGATTTTGTTCTGGGAAAATCTTGCTCAATTCATAGATTGTTTTGTTAATAGAAGATATCTTGTTTGCTCTTCTTTGAAATTTCCATTTCTTCCACTAACTTTTTCTGGTCAAGATTGGCAGGGTGACTTTTCTCTCAATATACATTTTCTTCATGAGCAAATTTTTCTTTCTTCTTCTTATAAGGCTAAATGAAGTTTTCTACTCTCTTACTTACAAATATCCCAATCAAAATCTAACCGCCGCAAAATATTTATCTCGACTTAATTTGATTACAGCAATCCTACCAACACAATAGTAAATTAAGTTTTTAGTACAAATGAATTAAACATTATAAATTCCTATCACCAGCTCATAACGCATTCATAAAGTGACAAACTCTAAACCTTCGTAATGGCTTCTAAATGACAGCAAACACCTACAAAAGACTTCAGTCAACAGAAAAAAGAACCTGAACTAATATACATAACTAGTCTTAAATAATTATATTCTTAAACAATTCTTAGTTTTAATTCTAATATAGCCAATCAGAAAATAATCTAACATAGTAAAACTACTTGGCAATGGAAATTCAAACCCTATCCTAAGAGGTAAGAGAATCCAGTTCCCACATCTCGACTTAATTTGATTACAGCAATCCTACCAACACACTAGTAAATTAAGTTTTTAGTACAAATGAATTAAACATTATAAATTCCTATCATCAGCTCATAACACATTCATAAACTAACTCACTCTAAACCTTCGTAATGGCTTCTAAATGACAACAAACACCTACAAAGACTTCAGTCAACAGAAAAAGGAACCTGAACCAATATACATAATTAGTCTTAAGTAGTTATATTCTTGAACAATTCTTAGTTTTAATTCTAATATAGCCAATCAGAAAATAATCTAACATTGTAAAACTACTTGGCAATGGAAATTCAAACCCTATCCTAAGAGGTAAGAGAATCCAGTTCCCACACTACAAAATTTCAAGATGAGTTTTTGATAACTTAAAGCAAAATAAACTGTTTTAATAATAAAGTCAATGTAAAAGTCTGGCAATACCAGACAAGGATGAAAGAACAGAAACTGTCTTGAAGTAACATAAATAGGTGACTTAACTATATTGGATTATCTAGATTTTGATAAGAAGTTTCTGTAACCCAAAAAAAGTCAATGTAAATCCAAAACAATCACATTTTCTTATTTTTAATTATCAGAATATAATTATTTGAAGTTTCCAAGATTTTATTGAATTAATTTTTTTTATCAAATCAACATAAGATAGCAATTTAATTTTAGTGTGCAAAGATTAATCATAACATACCCATATTACTCAATAAAAAAAATAATTTTGTAACAAATATAATTTTATGAAAAATTTTATTTTTTAAAATACTACATGTCAATTAAAAATGGGGTTTATTTCCTATTGTTATTATATTAAAAGTAAAATTTCAAATATACTAAGTCAAATAAAAAATGACTAAAATTGTTTAAACAGAAGTTCTTGAGCTAAGTTGTGTATAATCTTAATCATTTAATTCCAAGAAAAAATACTGGTACCAAGGTTGGCGAGGATAAAGATTGACATTAATATATATATTTTTGAGAACGACACTAATATAAATATATATATATATATATATATATATATATACACATCTAGAAGTCTTGCACTGACATTTGACCATCAATTAATTCAAATACCACCACCCTAGTTTTCCATTAACCATATACTAAATCCCCTTCATATTGTGTATAGTCTTAATCATTTAATTCCAAGTAAAAAATGTTAGTATTAAAGTTGGTGAGGATAAAGATCGACACTAATATACATGAAAGCATACATCTAGAAGTCATGCATTGACATTTGACCATCAATTAATTCAATACCACACCTCTAGTTTTTCATT